GTATCTAACGTATTTATTTGGACAAGAAATAATACTATATTGTTCAAAATAGCTTCGTAAATAACCTATTAGTTTTTGGAATGTGTAAGAGATAAAAATGGTTACTGTGGGTTATCATTAGAAGATAGATATACACCATTGCAATTTTTTTTGTAGATCTTTTTAAGATAAACAATTCCGTAGTAAATTATTTTGTTCTATCTCTTGAGGTTTATCCAGCGTTTGCAATGCACAAAAACATGTTTTTACGACATCACATTACGAATCTTTAAAGTCTTCGATTTCTTCTACTATAATATGCATGAATTATACATATAAACCTACCTCTTGAATTACTCTCTCTATTGGTTAAAAACCGCATTAAAATTCGTTGCGTAGTTTGAAAGATCTAAGCGTACAAGAAAAAAAAACGATATGTTATATTTTGTAAAGATTGCTTAAACCTCTTATTAAAAGTGACTTTTTTATTTTATTTATGTAACTGTGGCAGTAGGTTATCACAACAGCAAATGACAAGTGACAAAAAATACGAATATCACGTCTTGTGCTAATTATCGTCACGTGATCAAGCCAAAATCTTTAACAGGTATGAAAGTCTCGTGCAAAACGACATATTTATCATATTTCCATTGTAAAGTAAAATTGTTCTTTACAATGGAAATTATAATATGATAAAATGTCGTTTAGTTGCGTGCGCGTAGTTGAATATGTTCATGAGGCTTGTAGACAATTGCATTTGCGCGATGGAAAAGTTTGCTCTATTTAAGAGGATAGAGACATCCTGTTTCACCTATCAGGCAAAAACGTTACACGGTATCACCATAATTTAGTACCCAATAAAACAAGCTACTCACAAAGTCCTCATCACACAGTTATCTGGACGGACTTTGCAGAGCTAGTTCAATTGAAAAAAGCTATTGCATACGGCTTGAAGAAGATGAGATGCACTCTAATTGTCTTTAATGGTCTATACTGACTTCCTCGGTGGCTCAGTGGTAGCGTATGCGACTGCTGTGCTGAGGTTTCGGTTTCGATTCCCGGGTCGGACAAATATTTGTTCCGTTATTTGTGTGTAAAAGAATACGAGAATAATATTTTATTTATAATGAAGAAAAATATCATAGTAAAACAGATAGTGCGTCTTGTCTAGTGTCTTATGACACCCACGCGATGATCAGGGGTGGTTACACTCCGTATTCTTAATCCTTTACCACACGGACGTTTTTTACAAGCTTTATGAGAAATAAATGACGCAATATTATTCCTTAGTTTCTTCGGTCTATTAACATTTTAGTTTATTATTGACATAAAATATGCTTATTCCTCACAGTAACTTGCAACTCTTTTACATTACTTCGCTAAAAGCAAACCCAGTTTTTTTATTCCATTCCGTCTTATAGCTCCATGCCAATCATTATCATCATAAAGGTTCTTCAACTTTTTAAATAGTATAAACCAAAGTAAAGAATCTGTATTCACAGATTTTCACTTTTTGTCTATAAAGCCGCGTGACAAAAATGAGATAAACCATTTCAGTTTTATTTATTAAAAAAAGTCTCTTTTCATGGACTCGATTTAAAATGAATTCATGCTGCGACAAAAAATGCTGGAATCCTTGAGCATACACTTTACATCTAACAAGCGACTAGTTCAATGTTTAAAAATGGTCTTCCATACTTTTAAATATAGTCATAACATATAAATCTAAAGTTATCATCTTTAAAAAAAAAGACAAATATAAGAAATAAACATCAATGGAAAATATACAAACACGGCTCATTCAAATCGCACTCAAAAGGTTTTCGAAGGAAAATATTAAGTAGTAAAGCCCAGGGTAATCCTATTATGATTATAACCTTGAATATAAAAGAACCCATGTTTTACCTATACAGAGCCTCATTCGGAGTAAAATACGAGATAACGATAAAGTTCGATCGTATTTAAACGACACGAAATATTGGACAACAAATGGGGCTTTAGTATAACACCAGCTCAGCGGCTCGTAACGGCTAACCTTGTCACTTCAAGACAAGAGATCATTTTTTCAAATAATTTTACTTAAAAAAATATCACCGACTTGAACGCGCCTACATAATCATGGCTCATTGACTGCACGGATGGCGTAGTAGCTTAAGCGGTCACTTTGCTGCTCCCTATTGCGCTGAGTGTTGTGGGTTCGATCCCCGCATGGGACAACACTTTGTGTGATCCACAAATTGTTGTTCTGGGGTGTTCTTTGTGTCCGTTTCATGTATGTTTATAAAATACTGCTAGACACAGAATGCGGGAGTTGTCTTTAAAAAAAAAATTAAAATAAACTGTATTCTTTATTGCTTCGTTTTCCACTTACTTTCGTATAACATTCGTATTTTCACTTCATATCTGAAAGGGACCTAACAGGGAGCTTACCAACCCAAATAAAAACGTCTTAAATCGGTGTATGAACGAACTTCTGAAGAAGCAAACATACCAAAATACAATCAAATCGAAATTACACCTTTTTTGAAGTAGGTAAAAAAAACAGACAACCGCGAATAACATTTAAGTCCAGGGTCCAGAGTTTTGTACAAAAAGGAAAAAACATATGTCATTAAAATGTAAATCAACGAGACTTAGGTAAACTTAGGTCATGACTCTGACAAAAAGTAAGTCTGATTGAAATCAAATGTAAGATCAAGTCACCTAGTGACTCTTAGTCACCTGTAGTCATCTTTTTCTATGTGGTCTATATGTTGACTAGTGTGATTATATCAACATGAAATTAATGAAATATTCAATATCTTCCAATTAATATCATTGTCACTGTTTTGAACAAACATCCTCTGGGAAATTAACTCGTTTCTCATAAAGTAGAAGGACAGAAGTGATCTTTTAGGATTTTGTTTGTTCTTTGTTTCAGAACCGTAAAAGTAATCTATTATTTATATTCTTTTACTCATTTTCATACGTTACACAGCACTCCCATCCCGTGCTACTGAATTTGCCCCATTGGCTAATAAGCTCAAAAAAATAATAGCGGCGAAACTTAACATAACGTTACTATTTAAAAACAGTGTTAATCAAGTAATTGTTGCTATATTCGTATGTACGTTCATTAATAGAACCTATCCAAATTACATGCACGCACGCACACTCGTAAATAATGTATGTGGTTAACGTAAATTATGGCTTTTGTGGTTTATATTAACGTCCGAATTTCTACATATTATCTAATACTAAATGGTAACTCTTTTAATATAGGTTTGTATACATCAGTCTTTTGATGTGATGATGTAGAAGACTGCGTATGTATACAGACATACAGATACATAAATATACACGTATATGTGTTATATAAATTTTAATATTTTCTGTAGTGCACTGTACAACGTCACTCCAGTATTATTCATTTCCTAGCTTAAACCAAGAAATGAATGCAGATATACAGTGGTTGAGTTGAGTCTTTCCCCGCAACGGGCGGGACACACACCCCCGTCGATGGCTTCCTATGTCGGAGACGACGGGGAGAATGAGGATAATGTTCCGCCTGTCACGGATTCGGAGGTAAAGGCGGCTGTTCTACGCTCACCTCAATACTAAACTCAGTCCTCGTACCGGTTCAGGCCCAGACGAAGTATCTGGGCTTAATCCTCGACGGGAGTTCACTGATGGGAGCTGCGTCTGCTCTTGGGCGTCGCGACGAGAACGCTGTACACGGAGGTTGTTCGGTCCATGGCACTGTATGGTGCACTGGAGTGGGTGGGCTCTTACCGCCCAAAATAGAGCGCGCCTTTGATCCCCTTAGTGGATATTGGCGGTCAGAGCCATACGCGGTTATCACACCGTGTGGCCTGAAATAGAGAATTTACCCGATGGTGGCGCCCGCGCTGTTGCGGACAGGCGCTAGGAGGGGTCAGGATGTCTTAATAACATCAGTTCCCGGATCCCTCCCATTACAGGCGCAGAGTGGCACACCGTATGGTTTTAGTCGGTCCGATTCCGACACACCACCACACGCAATCACCGGTGGGGTGACGGCCTGGGTGGGTTTCCACACGTAAAAAAAAGGGAATGAATGCAGGTAGGCATGTAGACCAGGGTTGGAATATTTTTAAAGGATAATTTATATCGATATGACACGACGATCCAGAAGAGTGTACATTGTAAATATGTAATACGCATGTCATGTAGCAGAGTCATGTTTCAGCACATATGACCAGATTCGACCGGAGTAGTACCTAGACCTCACTGACAACCTATGTTAAGCAGTTCATTCATTGCTTTTCGCGGAGTGATTGAAGTTATTGGTGATCAAATGATCCTTGACGTGAGGGGAGGACTGAAAGAGCGTCAATGCACTTGTGATACTTGAGTTACAGAGGGCCAAGTGCGAGTTTATTTGACATCATCTCACTCTCGACAGCGATCGCGTTCGTTGCGATTGGTTAAGATTTCTGTGAGTGCCAATCGCAGCGCCGAACGCGGTCACCGTTACGATCGATTTCTCAAAATAATTGCATTCTTCCAAGTAGTAACATTTACTGTTTACATACGATTTCTCTAGAAAATGTTCAGTGTTTATTTACTTTATAGCTCAATCTAAGAAAATATCTCGCCAATACAACGTATACAATGAATCTTGACATCTTGACAATAGGTATAAGTATTAGAGGTTATTAGATTATTAGATAACTCTAACGCATTCTTATAATTTATTTATTTTATAAATATAAAATATCTAATATCGTTATATCAGATATTTAATATAAATTAAAAAAATTGTAGAACAATACATATTATATAAAATACAATATTATTCCATATTTATTACGCAATTTTTTATTTTGATTAAGAGCAATACAAATATCCTGCAACATAAACCAAAAGAACCACGATTTTTTAAAACGGTTCCAAGTTGAAATATCAGGGGGCACTACTTTTCAGATCACGAAAAATATGGTATTATTAAGCGCCTTTTTATTTAGGGCGTAACAAAAGACGAAGAATAATCGTAAAAAGCATTAATAAATGTCGTCTTCCCCTAAAATGTTACAATCTTTAGGGAATATGTGAGCTGCGTAGCCGTGCTTGGCAAATCTGTTACTAGAGCCTGTTGATGACAAGGTTATTATGTGATACGATAATGGTCTGTTATCGGGAGTTTTTATTTCTTAGAAAAAAATACAAAAAAGTTAGTAAATTTATAATGTGTTTGCTAGTTAATTGCATTGATTTTTCAAATATTTGCAACCTAGTAAAATAATCTTTTTGATAGCTATTGTCGTTTTATGATATAAATGCTTCCATTACTAAATTTAAGAAATGATTAAAATGTAATTTAGATCTTTTAATCAAAACAATATTTAGATTTTTATTCTTATTTATATTTGTACCGAAGGAAGAAAGGCATGAGAGTCTGAATCTATTTAGTTTCAGGCAATTTCATGATAAATCAGGTAATATATATTTTGAACATTGTTATTACATGAATCCTTAACTTTTGCACGTTACGAATATTCAATGCCCAATGTTATCTGAAACATGTCTTGAATCAATGATGCTCCCATTCGCGTGACTTATTACTGTCCGAAGGTAACATGTATTTTCCTTATGTCCAGGGTTATTATTTTATAAATAGACGTTCGATATTTAAAAATAATCTTCGAGTTAGTTTTTTTTTACTCGAGGTAAAAAAGGTTGCCAAAACAAGGATGGCAAACTGTGGCCTGACAAACTAATCGAGACTGATAAAAGACGAAGGTAACCCATTTTCGTGGGAGCTCATAAGTAAGTAATTGACTGCACGGATGGCGTAGTTGTTTAAGCGGTCGCCACGTCGCTTCCTACTACGCCGAGTGTTGTGGGTTCAAACCCCACATGGGACGACACTTTGTGTGATCCACAAATTGTTGTTCTGAGTCTGGGTGTTCTTTGTGTCCGTTTCATGTAGGTATATTTGTAAAGTCCCCCGCGACACAGGATTTATTCCCAATGCGGGCGTTGTCTTTAAAAAAAAAAAATTCAATATCAATAAAGGTTTTTAACTTACCGGGTCCTTGATCTTGTGATTCCTGCAACAACGAATATGTACAATGAATATTATTTATATTATTCAAATATATTATGTGTATTTAACGCACAAGCTGGCAATTTATAAAAATGCTAGTGAATGTAGAATGTCCGTGACTTAGTCGCTATATGCATTTGAATAAATATTGCCTTAAGTAAGTTGAATCTGATGAAACAGAAGCAGAAACTGCAATCGCTTTGAAATAATGTGCTAATGCAACAACAAATTGTAGTTGCCGCGTAGGTAATAACAGGTAAGTATCACGCAAACTATTAATAGAGAGGGTTTGAGAACTATTCTTCGAGAACTTGATGATATTATAAAAAATATTATATGCAGAAATCTCGCTCGCTGTAGTTGATAACCCAAGAATGCACTTTTTGCCCAGTACAGTGGTCGGCCTTTTATTAAAAGTGCACTTAACTCATTATATCCCAGAATTCCTGTGTCACATCCTGCCAAAACCGTAAGGGAGAATGTCGACCGCAATCGATCAAACAGCAATTCGTTGCATATAGCTACTTCACATTCTCTCTTTATCAGATAAACAGATAAGCCGATTGCTCACCATAAGCTCATATGAACATCAATTCAGGTTTACCAAAACTATATTATCATCGCACCATTGATCAAACACGTGATAAGAATTGAAGATATAAAAATCTCTTTAGCTCTCCTAGTATATAATCCAATAATCTTCATAGATTATACAGAACTATGCAAGGGAGTTGATGAATTCAGATTTAAAAGCGGTAATTGTAATTTTATAAATTGTAAATGTTATTCATTTAAATTTAAAACTATGTGTGAAAATTATTAGACCGGATACTTACGAGTATAATTATTTAAATAATCTTAAATAAAACATTTATAGTGGATGGAGAAAGATGGTCTAATATTAAAATAATATAAATGCATGCAAAAGTATAGGCGGCAAAAGTGTTTGAGATGGGTTTTGAGAGATACTTAAGTTATGATGAAACAGCATTGCTATTTTTGAAGAAGCCAGTTTTGCACTACACCACTTTAACACTTACCGCCCTAGCAATTCCATTTATTTCTTTTCCTTACCGGGAAAAATATACATGTATACTTACGAATTTATTTCCCTCTTTCGCTTTTTGTATAACTTCTACCTCTTTCTTAGCATGCTGAATGACTTGTTCTACAAATTCGTTTGCTTGGCGAAGTTTGTCTGGATCACTCTTGAAGGCGGCTACACGCTCTTCCAAAGACCCTTCCGTGTTGTCTCGCATTTTGCTCGAAATTATATTTTTCCTTAAATGCAATTATTGCCCCCAGGTGGTTTTAATCACTGGTGCTGAAAAGTTCACTTCACAAAACTCAAACAAACGGTGTAAATCCCACTTTAAAACTTCATTTGCTAGTACGGAGCGGCCATATCTTTAGAAGAGAGGGTAGTACCCTTCACTTATTTTCGGGGAACCCGCGTTTATTTTTAGGGGCAGTGCCAGTCATTATTATAGAGCAGTCAGGGAAGGGTGATTAATGAAAGAGAGACGTGTAGTAGGTGCGATGACGGCGGAGGTACTGCCGGGCGAGTGGCGAGCCCCGATCATGCGCCGACGGATAGAACGCTACGGCATAGCATACGTACTGCGCTCGACAGATTACTACTTATCATAAATGCAACCTATGACCGATCTTGAGGTGAATTTCAGGTTAATTGAAGCCGAGCCGAGTACGAGAAGATCGTGGAATCAATATCAAAAGAAATCGTAGCGTACCTTGAATCAAACTTGAGTATACTGTTAATCTACAATTACTGCTTTTAAATCATTCTTTACGCAAACATTCAGAGTAGCCAGCCATATTCGTTCACTGTAGTCTTATTAACTCATGTTTTAAATTTAATTTTTATGATCGCCTCATATTTATAAATGATGATAAACATTAATTTTAATGGCTACAAGAAACACTTCCCATCAAGACTAAAATGTAGAATTAAATGCATTGCATGCCATATACTGATCTTGATTTGTTTATTATTATTCGGTTACAAACGTTTAGCATATATCTTATGCACATGACCGTTTTATTATTTAGTAATTACACTATTATGAAAATTATAGTTACTTTTGCAATAACAATATAATCATCGTTACGTCTCTTAAGGATACTCAGGGCATAGGAAATCTTACTTACCTTTACTAGTACTCTTAGTCGTCGGTTTGTTTATTGCTATCTAACTACTCTCTCTTCTACTAATCTGTTCATCACTAGCTAATCAACTAATTAACTAATGTATGCACATAATTATGAGGTAACTGTAAAGTTTGCTTCGATCCAACATCATCATCATCAACAGCTTTTAGTAGTCCACTACAGGACATAGGCCTCTCCTTATAAAGGAAATTTATGCCTACTATACCACGCTGGCCAGACGGGTTGGTGGCCATTTACCTAGAAATAATGCAATAAATATTTACGTAATTGTTGTTGCATAAAGATTACAAGGTAATATGTGATGAAAATAATCTAAGATAATCTATAAGAGAGACATATATATATATATATGGCTAATGACAGTGTCAAGTCTTAAATCGCATGTCTGATCAAGATGTTGGATCAAGCTTTAAAAGAGACCGCATTTTTATGCGTTTCATCCGTTTTTCTATACGTATACTTTTTTACTAAAATATTAGTTTATTTACTAAAATATTAATAAAGAGAAAATATCAACATATTTCAGTGATAGGTAAACAATTTAATCGGTAAGCAAAAATGTTGGTAGAGACAAAGAACGGGATCGATAATTTTTATTAAATGAGCATTGCATTTTTGTCATTTGGAGTAGAAAGCAGTAACGCAGCCTAGAAATCACCGTTAAATTTGTCTTAGATGAGCATGATGGCGATTTGGAATTGTTAGCGCTCTTTGAGGGCTGCCTTCCTTCACAATGATGAGACGATATTTTTGATTTCCTTAAATTGTATATTTACTGTCTGCTGTACTTCTTGTATGCCTCTAACTCAACTCTCCTCTATTTCCTTCCCAGATACGTTTACCTGCCTGCCTACAAGCAAGAGGAAGAGAATTAGTGACTCATTGCATAAGTGCTTTCTGTCTGATAAAGCAATCTTGGAATTCTCTTAATTACTTAGTCTTGTATCACAGTGTTATTGGTATGGTAAACTATACTAATTTTATAAATGCGAAACTGTGTCTGTCTGATGCCTCTTCACGCTTAAACCGCTGAACCGATTAAGATGAAATTTGGTATAGAGATAGTATATGGTATAGAGTCCCGGCAAAGGACAAAAGGTAGTTTTTATCCCAGAAATCATCCTTTAGGCTGATGAAAAGGGTGAGGGGGTGGAAGTTTGTATGGGGAATCAATAATCGCTCAACCGATTTAGATGAAGTTTGGTATGGAGATACTTTGAATCTTGAGGGAAGGCATGGACTAGTTTTTGCCCGCGACTCCGCTCGCGTAAATATCGGTTCTCCGACACGGTCGGTTGTCCGGGACTCGGACTATCTCTATACCAAATTTCAGACACAGTTTCGCATTTATAAAATTAGTATGGTTTGCCAGTGTATTATTATATCATTTATAAATTTAATATAGATATACCTACTTAGGTACTTATTTAAAATCCAATCATAAAAAAATAAAAAACAGTTTAACATAGATTTGACTGGTGTGCGTTACCCCAGCAAAATAATGTCGAAAATGGTCATTTAAACTTTATAGATAATTAGTTGCTCCCCTTCTGTAATTGTTAAGCACATTTTTAAATTTGTTTCACTTAAACTTTTTTAGTTATTTCAAAAAACATTTCCTGCTGGGGTAACGTTTGAAACGTTACCGCAGCCAGACATTTTCTTTTTTACTTGTAATATTGAAATAAATTTTAGCTAAATAATTAGTTATCTGGACTAGGTAAATGTTACAAGTTATTTGGTATTTGTATTTTCTTCGGATGCGAAGTTATTCGAAATCCTGCTGGAGTAACGTTTGTGGGTTTGCTGGATCTCTGAAACGGGTAAGCGGATTGTAACCATCTTTTGTACATAACTTCTTAAGGATTAGTTTTAATTTGTTCGACAATAAAATAACAAAATTAATGGACCGTTTAAAAATTATTTAGGTAAGTATGAAAACACTTCAATACGTCCTAACACTTTAAATAAGACCTCTAAAGACTTACTTGAAACGTTATTCTATTGCTTGTAACTACCTTCAAATGTATACGAATTTTCGTAATAATACTGTAAGTGACTAAAAAGTTATGATGAAATGTAGCTCTCCACGTTCACGATCACAATGTGTGCGGCCTTTTTTGGCCACCGATAAACCTGTGTGTGGATATATAAACTGAATGTTATGCCAATAATTAGTTGTTTAGTTCAGTTGTCTACCTGTAAAATTTCAGCGTAGTACATATAATAATTTACGAGAAAATTAAATAAAAGTCATTAGAAGGTGCAAGACTGTGGTAACCCGACCATGTTTAGGTGGTTACAAAAAAGCGATCACCCAGTACATTGTGCTGGCTTTTAAAATATGTAGGATATTATTTGCAAGTTTACTACGGATATGTACATAAGTGTTACAAAAAACTACATGTTTTTTAAATATTTTTTATTTAGGATTGTTTATTGCATAATTAGTAATTACTAATAATACTGATTATAATCAGCCGGGAGATTAGGTATTGTTTTGAATGCTTTTGTTTTCTCGTAATGTTTAGGTGAATTGTTTATAGTTGTTCATAGAATTGGTACCTGCGTAGTATTTGTTAATTGAAGTTTAATTTTAGGGTAGGTATAGGTAATTTAAGAAATATGAAATGAAATGAAATGAAATGATAAGTTTTGAAGAGTGTAACGTATGCGTTGTAAATAGGTATTTTGTGAATAGATGGGGATTTTTTTAAGTGATGAATCGACTTAGGCTAGCATATCGCGAACAAACTCTGTATTGCATTATTTCTGTAATAATGTTGGAGAAAATAAAATATTTGATCACAAAATCGCGGTGACTTAAATTATAATAAAATAAATTATTTATGTAAAATTAGTAATAAGTGATATACCTACCTAAAAGTTATGATCGTTTTTAATTTGTTCACCCTGAACGAAATTTCAATATTAACATTAGTAATTAATATCCTAAGACAAGAATTGACAATTACTTAAATTGAATCGAATTAGCATTAATGCCTATTATTAGTAATTAGGTACACACATATTGAAGAACTCTCAAGAATACGATAAATATTTGCAAAAATAGAAAGCGGAAGCGCACACGTATTTTACAACACGTAGGTATATTATCTGCCTAAGGGTCAAGTTTAGTGCACTAGATGCAAATTGCAAACAATGAAGTATCCCTTCGCCCCTCCCCTCCCGCGTTCTAGCGAAGGATGTATTATCAGCGATTCTTGATTGACAAATATTATCTGACCAATAATTTTATCTATAAAAATGTATCACTTTCACTCGATAAATTAAATTACCGTTATTATATCAAAATATCATTCAACAACTCTTCGATTTTAACAGAAATCAACAGTCACAGGTAGGTACATAGGTATAGATAATTCTCGGTTTTCGGTATAGACCACAGAACAATATTACCTACTCTTATGAGGTATACGACTGTTGGGCGATGCAATGTTGATGCATTCTAATTTACAACTGTATTCTTCTACTATTCGGTGTATTTTAACTAATTGTAGATGACTTGTTGATTTAAATATTTTGATGCATTCAAGTCTAAGCTCTATACTTACACCCCAAAATAAAATACAATTACTTTAGTGTTATTTCTTTACAAAAAAAATCAAAGAAATGAAACGATTTCTTATTGGTTTAAATTTTCGTTTTATTGCAGTCAGGTGAATCGTTCATACATGTATCTACATATTTATAATTTTAGCGGACCAGTGCAGATTTTCTGTTGATTGTAGCTCCGGTAGTAAAAAAGACTAAATAAATTTTAAGAAAAGAAACTAGTGCTTAAGATCAATTAGGGAAAAAAACAAATTAAATAATAGGTAATATTAATGAATAAATATTGAATGTATTTAACACTGTACGCAACTGTACCGAAATCGTAAGGTGTATTACACTAAACATTTAAAAAGACAGCGCAATGTACTGGGTGATCGCTTTTTTGTAACCACCCAAACATGGTCGGATTACCACAGTCTTGCACCTTCTAATGACTTTTATTTAATTTTCTCGTAAATTATTATATGTACTACGCTGAAATTTTACAGGTAGACAACTGAACTAAACAACTAATTATTGGCATAACATTCAGTTTATATATCCACACACAGGTTTATCGGTGGCCAAAAAAGGCCGCACACATTGTGATCGTGAACGTGGAGAGCTACATTTCATCATAACTTTTTAGTCACTTACAGTATTCTTACGAAAATTCGTATACATTTGAAGGTAGTTACAAGCAATAGAATAACGTTTCAAGGAAGTCTTTAGAGGTCTTATTTAAAGTGTTAGGACGTATTGAAGTGTTTTCATACTTACCTAAATAATTTTTAAACGGTCCATTATTTTTGTTATTTTATTGTCGAACAAATTAAAACTAATCCTTAAGAAGTTATGTACAAAAGATGGTTACAATCCGCTTACCCGTTTCAGAGATCCAGCAAACCCACAAACGTTACTCCAGCAGGATTTCGAATAACTTCGCATCCGAAGAAACTACAAATACCAAATAAGTTGTAACATTCACCTAGTCCAGATAACTAATTATTTAGCTAAAATTTATTTCAATATTACAATTAAAAAAGAAAATGTCTGGCTGCGGTAACGTTTCAAACGTTACCCCAGCAGGAAATGTTTTTTTGAAATAACTAAAAAAGTTTAAGTGAAACAAATTTAAAAATGTGCTTAACAATTACAGAAGGGGAGCAACTAATTATCTATAAAGTTTAAATGACCATTTTCGACATTATTTTGCTGGGGTAACGCACACATTTGACTGCACGGATGGCGTAGTGGCCGAGTGTTGTGGGTTCAAACCCCACATGGGACGACACTTTGTGTGATCCACAAATTGTTGTTCTGAGTGTGGGTGTTCTTTGTGTCCGTTTCATGCATGTTTGAGTTGTCATTAAAAAAAAAAGATTAACAAAAATAGCTTAACTACCCATGTTAAGCGATTGAATGGTTAGTAATGATTGAAAATTTGTTATGAAGAAGGTTTTAAAGAAAGGTAAAATGTTATGATAAATTTTCAGGAGGATTTCGAAGAATGTATTAAATCGAGCAACGTCGTTCGTTTGTTCGTCGTTTTATTTAGGGTCGTAATTAATTTTTTTACTGCATCATCATCAACCTTTTTTTTCCGTGCGGAGCATCATCATCAACCTATCGCCGTACACTGGTGCTTTCACGTAGTTGATCATGAGTCCTTCCGATGGGCGTCAACTTCTGACAATGCTATTGTACGTACGAACGACACAGAAGAAGTAAAGAATTCTGGGTGCGTTCATACAAATATAAGTATGGCTACTTTGGTCCTTCAATAATCTTGTAATGAATGGATATTCACGGATAACGGAAAGAAATCAGTTGATGGAAGTCCATACCATACCATAGAATAGTTCTAAAACTACTTCGGACTGTATTTTCACTGATCGGACGTAATGCGAAACCACTCTTACTGTATTACAGAAGAGACCACCGCGAGGTCACATTATTTTTTTATATTCAATTTACAAAAGATAATCTGATTAGTCTGGGAGCTTACCGATATGTCAAAAATCTAAGTTCCTATGGACTGCAGGCGTTGGTACATTTAATTTGCATATGTTTTGAAATAACGCCTTTGTATAAAAAAACACTGATTTGTTTTACTGACGATATTCTCCTGCGTTTATTTACTGTTTGGAACTGATCCTTTTTTACTACAGACCAAAGTAACACATAAACAATACTGAGGCATTGTAAATCAGTCGCTAATTTCAAACAAATGCTATTTTCGATGTTTGCTTCTTCTCGATGAAAAACATGCTTTTAGATTTCATAACCAGGTGACTACGAGTAGTAGGCTGCAACTTTGATTATAATGGAAAATTTCAACCTACATTAAAAAATCTGTTAACTAAATTATGATCTACGTAGTTTGTTAAGTACATGCAAATGAATGCATATTATATATGCGTATAGGCTGAGAATATTGAGATCGAAAAAAATAAACTAGCTGGTTTTTAACGGGATAATTCAGGTAAAAGCGTTAGTTTAAAAAAATACTTTGGAAAAAAAACGGTTCATGGCAAGTTATTGAAACAAAATCAAACAGGTGCAAACAATCGATTGATACAAAAAAAAACACGGCAAAACTTTTTTTATGGAAAAACAAAAATAGGACATTGTAGTGTGAGAAAAAACGAAGAAAATGAGAGTTGCTAAAGTCAAGTCAAGAAACTTTACGGGCTTTTATCTCAAAATATCGCGATTTGTCAACCTTCATTTTCCTTGTAGGAAATCCGTCCCCGGCTTGAATTATAAGTTTTTAATACTGTCTTATTGTAAAAATAAAACTTCTGTCACAAAATAATTGCAGCATATTTTTGCGAAAATGTAAAAATAGGTGCTTTGGAAAACTCGTGCGCGATTGGTTAGAAAGCATCCTACGACAATTTAAAAATGGATTTTTTTTCGTTAAAAGTTGGCCTACAATCTTTGCATAACTAAGTATAAATCTCCCAGATGCATGACAGAGCCGTGAAAGCGGAAAAAAACATCGATCGATGTCTTTCGCGAGCGCACCTAGTTGGCAGCAGAGGACTGATTTTTTCCAAAGCATTTTTTATTTAACTTATATTTTATGACGTTGAAAACCCAGAAAGTTTATTTTTTTAAATATGAAGGCTGTTTATCAAAAATCATTATTTGACCAAAAGTAGAAGTATATATTGACTGTAAATAAAAAAATGCCACAAAAACGCAGCATTGTTGACCCCCAAAGCCTGTAAATTTGAGATATAAAAAAAAAAAAATCGACGTATCTTAAATAGCACTTTCCAAAATTATTGATTATTAAAACAGCACCCTCTTAGTTTACGAGTCAAACATAAATAAAGATACTACCTGCTACACCGTCTATATCACTTGAAATATTTCGAATTTCGTTATTTTTGCACAGTGGAAAAACTGCACCCTACTCGAAACTAACTGCACTATCATTAGAATTTCATAAAATGCAATAGTTATAAAATAGGGGGTGCGAAGTTGCAGCATGTGACCATGACTACGTATGACGTCATCTTTCGCAAAACCTGGGAATGAGTACTTTATATTATTGTATGTTATTTTACTGTTAGTGTAAAATTAGCACTGTACTAACATAGAACTATTTACATTTCTGTATTTATAAGAACATAAATCCGAATTAGAAGCAAAATAGTTTGCCCCAAATTCAAATCACATAATAACAACACCCAATTATTATACCGCTTTGCGCGCCAACTAAAGACAAGACAAGCAAGACAGCTGATTGGTTAATAAGTTAATAGGTTAATCAGTTGTCAAACTGTACACAAATATGACACGTTTGCTGATTGGTGTTTCCAATCACGTGACTCACGGAAAAATCCTATTTTTCTTAAGGGTAAATAAAATTAATTATAAATTATCTTTTCTTCGGTTATATTATTCCTATATAAGGCTTCCTACCAATAGATCTATTTAATAGTCATTTTTAAACCGTCAACTCACGGATTCAGATGACATAGTCTAATTTTGTAATTTTTATCTATTACAGACTCTATAGTGTTGTCAAAGTTTTCAATTTCCGAACGAAACTTGAACTCCCGCGTTTTTTACCAAGTGTCAAAAAGTAGCAGAGTGCACTGTGCAATATTGTTAAGAAGTGTTATATTATCATCAGTTATTGCTATTTACGCGTTTGTTTTTCACAAATCTTACTTTAATGCTGTTTTTAAGTTCTTTTTAATAACAAAACAATGAAGACTACTAAGTCACCAGAGAATGCAGAAGTTACACCATCGAAAAAAAAACTCAAGCAAGCTCGTCTTCCATTCAAACTTTTAAGTGATGTATCTCCAAAGCCGGACATTCCCTCAACAAGGAAGAGGAAGCTTTCTTCTCCGGAGGTTGAAACTACTACCAAAGTCGGCAAAATCTTAAAAGAAAACGACGCCACAGAACCAGTGGTAATTAGTGACGATGACAGTAAAGATATTGTAGAGAACAGAAGTGAAAAATTACCCAATCCTTACGTGAAACTCGTAGATACCGCTAGAAAGAAGCTGCTAAAGTCTAAAAAGAAGAAAAGCAGCAAAAAGGCATCTAAAGTTCTAAATGGTTCTTGTGAAGTTCAAACTGACAGTGATAACAAAGTTAATGATTCGATGGATGTTGATGAACCACCGGACACAGAAAATGTGGTATCTAATAAGACTGAAAATTTTGAAACGAATAAAGTAAAAATAGAAGACAACAATTCAAGCATTAATAAAGACCTGGAGGAAGTAGAATCAGTGAGTAATGTTAGTGCAATAATCACTTTAGAAGATTCAAATAATGCAAGTGATAAACATCCAGTAACTGTGGAGGACTCTAATGACAAATTAGAGAAAAAATGTGATCAAACTATATCAGATGATACAATCAAGGAATCTCCGTCTAAAACTGAAGGTGATAATTCAAATACCAAACAATATGAGGAGCAGGTAACTCCTAAAAGAAGTATGAGAAATAGGAATAAAACTGAACAGAACAATAATTCCCAAGGATCGCCAAGCACTAAATTGAATAGTTCTACTAGTTCCATACCTTCAACACCGAAGAGTAGTCAAGGAGACATCTCATTGAATATATCATCTGCATCTGCCAACACAACTCCTAAACAGGTAGTTATTACTAAATTTTGTGGAATCTTTACATATTTGACTACTTAACCCCAGGGCAATAAAGTCTTATGTCAGAATTGGCAGGATTGATTCCTGCCAAAATTTTAATGAATTTAATATTGTAATATTTTAAATTAATATTATGAGTCTAAGCTCATGTGAATTCTACTTAAACAGACTATACATAAATATGTCTGTAAAATGTTAACAGTATTGTTGCTTAAAGGCTAAAAAAAATGGGGATACTTAATATTAAACAATAGACAAGCAGTAAGAAGTTAATTATTTTTAAGTTTTTGTACTGTCACAGTTATGATAAGATTCAATTTTTTTTTATTATTACCATGATTGTATATAGGAGTTTTAAATTATCAACATATTCAAACTATACTGCCCTCTTTAAGTTTGTTACTACTCGAAACTGCAATTGAGAAATGACTGTCACATTTTGTAGTATACAAAATGTAGTTTACATAACATACTCATCTGTTGTAATGATTTCAGATTTATACTTTAGCTCAATTTTGCCATTAAACATAGCTATTGAAATGAGAGATGTGCCTCAGTTCTCAGTTCACGTCATTGTACACATAGACTAGGGTTTGCCACATCATCATCAGAACAAGCCCATTTAGTCATGAAAATAGCATGCAAATTTAACAAATGATTAAAGTACCTATCCAATATTATTATTGCACTAATAATGTGTAAATGATACATCATGAGTGTTGGCAAAGTTCAGTAAAAAATTCACGTTAACAGATAGCATAGTAGAGTAAGGTCACTGGAAACCCCCTTTCCATATCATAATGATAACTAAAGTGTGCTTATTGTATTTTGATTGAAATAAATTTAGTGTTTTGGTAATTTTTCAGATTCAGAAAAAACTTGAATCTGCAAAGAAAAAAGAAGAAAGAGAAAAAGAAAAACAAGAAAGAGAGAAAATAAGGCAACAAGTAAAAGAAGAGAAGGCAAAACTGAAACAGGATAAAGAAGAACAGAGACGACGTGAGAGGGAGGAGAAAGAAGAAGCTAAACGGAAAGAAAAGGAGGAAAAAGAAGAACAAAGGCGAAAAGAGAAAGAAGAAAAAGAGAAGCAGAAAGAGCTGGAGAGAAGTAAGTAACTAGATATCTTGTTCCCTTTATAGGTAAATATGATAAAATAAAACACATACAATAATGTAACAACTTATATAATGTATAGAAAATGTAAATGTAAAGGCCGCAGGAAGCTGTTGGATGTGGCAGCACAGGACCAGCTGTTGCTATGTCCAGCAGTGGATGTCTTTCTGCTGAGATGATGATGATAAAAAAACACTGTAGCTAGAAGCTGAAAGCTAGAAGGTTGTTAAACAATGTATGAAAAGTTAATAATGTGAAAATGGTGATCTGTCATTGTGCAGAAATACTTATATGATGACAGTTCAACTAACATTGGAATATAAACATTTAAGCACAATATATTAATTAAAAAAGGTACATTTATTTATAATGCACACCATACTTTTACAGAGCAAAAAGAAGAAAAGGAAGAACAGAAGCGAAAGGAGAGGGAAGAAAAAGAAGAACAGAAACGAAAAGAAAAGGAAGCAAAAGAAGAGGAGAAACGGAAGAAGCAAGAGGCCTTAGAATTAGAAAAACAAGAGCAGGAACTTAAAAAGAAGAAAGCTGCAGAAGCATTTACAAACTTCTTTGTACCTAAACAGAAATCGGGGAAAGACCAAGCTATTATTTGTTCAGTCAATAATAGCATGCTCTCCAATTTTACAGTTAAGAGTGATATGAGACTGGCTCCTTTAATTAGAGTAGATTTAACAGATGATAAGAAAAGTAATTTAGATAATTTACTAGAAAAACAAGGTGAAGATGAGTTATACTTAAAATGTTTAAAAGATGGCCTTTTTAAGCCACTATTTAGTGGGAAAACATGGCCAGTGAGTGATAAAGATGAAGAGGATGATGTTATGATAGTTGGTAAGTGAATTCAAATAACATCCAATTGTATAATTTGAATGTATTCAGTCAGTTCCTAAAGTCTTGAACTTTATGATTAATATTATAATTTGTGCTACAAATCACTATGTTCATTTGCAGTGAATACTATAGCAATTTTATAGTATGTGCAATGAGTAGGACTTTATAGTCTGATTACTACTCCTTTTGCACTAGTTAATAAGAAAGGGAAACTTTTATTTTCTGTTGATACAAAGGATGTTTCATTTGTATTTAAGCAAATATGTAAAAACACAGCAGCATGAGACAAAAATGGTTGTTACCTCAGTGTAATGAACCTTTTCAAGGAACTATTCTGGTTTCTGCTGGCTGGTATTCTACTAACACCAAGTGGTCTACACAGAACAAACCTGCGTCTCAACTTGTAGTAGTGTCTAGATCATAAAGAAAGAAAAATGACTGATAGAAAAGAAATAACGATTTAAAACAATTCATAGAAAGCACAGTTCAAGCAGTTTTGTCTCAAACCTTGAGAATGAAACAGTTATATAGTGATTTAGGAGTTGACTAATTCATATCTGTAAAATTAGCAAGTAAAAAAGCTCAAATTTAGTTTGAATGATATAAGTGAAGGAATATAAGTTTGGAAAGTTTGAAAAGTGTTCTCAATTAATAATAAGGAAAAAAATACTTGGTAGGTGGAGGATTGCATCAGAGTGTTACGTGTTATGTGGAAATTTCCGATGATTTAATTGGTTTCAGAGTGGTGTATATGAGTATCAGGTAAAATCAAATTAATTTATATTTTTAATAATTGCAGAGGATGCTGAATTGCCACCGATGGATGGTGCTGGCGAAATCCTTTCAAGCGAATCTGCCCCACGTGAGAAGTTAAGACCCAAACTTTTGAGTTTTCACGAGAATCGACGTCCACCATACTGGGGCACTTGGCGCAAGAAAAGCGTATCTATTAAGCCTAGAAAGCCATTTGGGCAAGATGAGGTATATTACACATATTCATAACAATCTTGTATGCAAAATGAAAATAATGTTCTTTGTTTCTTATCCTGAATGACATCTATCCAGCAGTTGGTGGAGGGCAAGTGTCATAATGTCTGTTTGAGGACACAATAGGTAGGAGTACATAATAGATAAAAGCAGAGGAAAAGAAAGTGTGCAAGAATTGTTAATAATAGTGTCAGATAACTGAGGTCATATCATGTATTTTGTATTTGTATAGCATAAGTTATATGTTGTAATAGAACTCGGCATCCCATAAATTATTTTGTTGCACAGTTCAGGCGAATTATCGCCATATGTGTCTCTTCCACTAGAGACAATAAAGATCCCATAACAAGTAATAAATTATACACTACAAAAATGATGGTTCTAAAGCAAAATTCTATTTGTTAATGTTCCATAAAAAAAAAAACCTTTGTTCCGAGGCTTTTGTTTTGCATTGATAGGCAACCTACTTAATATTACAGTTGGTAGTATATACAGCAAAGAACATGTAGTAAATACTTAATCTATTTTTTAGAAACTACTTGATTACGAGGTAGACAGTGATGAGGAATGGGAGGAAGAACAGGAAGGTGAGAGCGTCGGTGGAAGCGTTGCTGGTAGTGATGAAGAACCAGATGGTGATGAATATGAAGTAGACAATGTCGTGTTTGTGCCACATGGCTATCTTAGCGATGAGGTATTGTTATTTATTTTTAGTAACATTATAAGCCTTTTCCCAAACAGGGTTGGGTGCCAACTTTCAGTATACTACAACACGGCTGTACTTCGATTTTTACATGGACCGACTGCCATTAAACCTCGACAACCCAAGTACTAGGTGATATCGAAGTTCTGTAGAAACCTGTTGTCGGACTTTTTAGGGCTCCAACTACCTATAACGATTGCCACAGATTCCTATTGCAACTGGGACTTGCTCTCTGAGGCATGGAGTGGTCTTAATGTGTTAAGAATGATCACCCATCTATAGACCGACTTAGCTAGAACTGCTTAACTTTGCAATATGCTAACCTATTCAATTTACACTTAGCCACTTACTAATCTTAAATATCTGAAAAAGGCATGCCCCCATGTCATTGTGATTAAATAATTACTGGTAACACTAAAAAAATATTTTTATTTCAATATTTTTGTAAACAGGAAGCAACAATGGATGAAGATGATGTACTTTCGCTATCACCAGAGACTCAGCAAGCAAGACTGAAACATTTAGAAAATGAATTCGAATCTGAAATGAAAAAACCTACAGAAAAGCTGAAGCCTAGAATGTATGGCTTATTATGGGAAACTAAAGAAGGCGGCAAGCCGGAAAAATGTGCAGACGCCTTATGGAATTACTTCAAAAAAATGTCAATGATTATGAATGATCCTACTCCACTTCTATTACCATCAACCGAACCTGAAGAAGGTGAGAAAAAGAAAGTGAAAAAGAAAAAACAGATTTCACAGGCAGAAGGTGAACAAAAACAAAAAAGTCCTAAAAGCGATAAAAAGAAGAAATTGAAGTCTGAAGACAAGGAAAGCAAAACTCCTAAATCTGAATCTAAAAAGACTATTGCAGAAGCAAAGAAAAATCAAACCAGTATTAACATGTTCTTGAAGAAAGGAAAGTCGTCATAAATTAAATATTGAAATATTAATTTTAAATTGATTTTAACTTCTAGGTTTGAAATATTTATATAAGTTCTCAATTTTTATTTATCATTAATGGTTTCATGCTTTACTGTAAAGTCTTCAATTTCCTATTCCATATTAGACACATAATATTTTATATGAAGGATAAAATCATATATAATAGCGGTAATAGAGAAGATCTTATAAATGTTTATATTGTGTGCTACATAACGAATCCTATAGACGTAAAAAGCTGTAAATATCTTTTTAATAAGGCTTATAATGGACATACAATTTATTCAATAAAACTGAAATATATTTTTTTTTCTTTCTTTCAATAATAATTATTATTGTATGTTCTTAACTGACTGCACCATTACGAAGACTATAGGTACTTATTGTTGCACATATAAAAGCACTTCTGTTGTACTATCTCATATTATTGGAAAGTACCTCAAAAGATAAAAAACAGCCGATGGGTCACCTGATGGAAAGTGACCATCGCCATCGAAATTACTTATCTAGATAAATCAACTTCAACTTTTGGTTAATGGCTTTGTGGTAGAGTGTAACCACAATTTCGCCAATGTCATGTATTTCAAAGACAAATAGACAAATCTATGAAAGATATGAAATATGAATGAAGGAATATGAGCAAAAATTTGTCAGGTGACCCAAAAAGTAAAACCAATAGGACCCAATAGTATTAAAAAGATAGACAAAAAATATCTGAAGAAGGTCGTAATCCATTCGCGTTAAGAAAATCGTGACGCATCGTTCGAGCCCCGCCTCCTTACCAATGAGTTCTAAGAAATTATTGTTTCGTACGAAAGCTTGGAACCTGATTGGTCTGTTAAGGATAGTATTTCATACAGACTCAATCTCATTTCAACCCAAAGGAAAAGACACAACATTGAACATTCCTAACAATCGTTCGATTAAGACTATATTTTAATTGTGCAGACATTCCGCACACTAAGCTTTAAAATAACTTCATTTTAATACAGAATTGTTAATGCGCTCCGTACTTTCTGACAATAGCTCATTGCGAGATGTTGTTTACATTCTCCAATCCATTCGTATAAGTTGAATTTAGGTTCATTTGAGAATAAAGAAAGGTTTTTATCCGTGAGAGAGGCTTGAGTGAGTGATGTATACTGAGCTAAACGATCTAGATGAAGAAATGAATCAATTGAGAGACCAAAATTTGAATTGGATCACTGAGCTAGACAGTGCCGGATTAAGACAGCGCGGGGCCTGTAGCAAATTCTACCAAGGGCCCCTTGGGTTGTTTTAGGTTATCTAGTTTATGGTGGAAATCAAACCCACGACCTCTGGCTTAGCAGGCTCACTAACCACTAAACCAACAGGACCCTCAAATTATAGTTTGAAATTTAGATGCAACTCTTTCGTGATAAAAATTTTGGCTTTATTGATTTGAAAAAATATTTTCACACCGATCGAAATACGAGTAAGTAGATACTTTTTACGGTCAGAAAGAGCGGGGGCCCCCAAATGCGCGGGGCCTGTAGCATTAGCTACTCTTGCTACGTGGCTAATCCGCCACTGGAGCTAGATGAGTGATATATATTTAGACCGAAATTGTATGTATCCATCTTTTCAGCTCAGTGTTACAGTTCGCATATCACTAGGTGTCAGTTTAAGTGTAGTCAGAATATCGATAAGGCCATCGATAGTATTGGAATTTTATAACACTATCGATACTATTGCTCGTCATCAATAGTAAAACTAAATTGTCTCAGGAAGTAGTTTTTTTTTGTTTGAGTTGTTGTTGTTGAAGTTGATTTCTTAAATGCTAATAAAATATTTATAGCTGATTGAAATGCCTCCTGCTGTTTTATGGGTCATAAGTATTATTTCAAGTAGGAAATTATACCTAGTATGTGAATCGATAAGGTAATAGAGTACTTTTTTATAGCAAGTTATGTCTCAGTTGTAAGTTATCAGTCCGTGTGGTGACGGGTTTAGAATACAGAGTGTCAACACTCCTATTTATCCCATGAGTGTCTTAAGAGCCCACTAAAGAAGCAAACGACGCAAACAGCACTGTGACGAAAAGGAAAACTTGAAACAAACCCTGTACAAACCCTTCTGGCCAGCTTGGTATAATAGGACAAACCTATCTTTGAGACCTTTATCTAGAAGTGTAATACTAAACTCTTTGATGATGATATCATCCCTAAATATTAGTCGATTATTATTAGTTTAGTAGTATTAGCGAAAAAATTGCGAAAATCAAATGGCTTGAATTTGATAACGATTTAAGCAGCCTAGCGTACTTCTATAATACAGTACAGGTCAGTGATTTTTTTATCTATAAATAACCGACCAAATTAAAATTATGAAATTGCATTAATTATATCACTTTCAATATTTATATTATAAAAAAAATCTTTCAGTTATTTTTTTTTTTGAAGAATTACCCGTTCGCCAGCGAGATGACCAACTGTTAAGCAAATACAATTTCGAATTTGCGAGTTGGCAACATTAGTTGCTGATAATCCTGTCAAAATGAAGAAAGATCATTGATAAATTTTGGTTAGTGCATCGAATTGATTGCGGTACTTCTTCCATTTTAACATATAATTACGCATTATTGAAAAATTCAGTTTCCTATGGTTTCGTAAATATATTAATAAGTTTGACTTTAGTGACCCTCGTTAAGAATTGGTATCCTGTAATTATTTGAAATCTTATTTGCCTACACCCTTTTCGTTACACTATTACTCATCCGTATAATTTTCGCCGATACGCTTCAATTTTAAACTTATTTTTATAAAAAAAGTTCACTTTCTTTACCTCTCAATTCGTTTGTTTATTTCTTATTAGATTCTAAATATTCTATGAACTGCAGTAAACAATACAATTAGAAAATCTGACATAGGTTCTTTGTTATTACACTTATTAGTTGCAATGGGTTTATTCTTATTTTTTCTCTCATGATATATTACTTTTATAAATAAAGGCTGTAATTGTTATGCTATTACAACATTTCCTTCATTTAAGTAGTCTAAAGTATCAATTTATTATTTTAAATAAATATAAAGGAACTTAGGATGCAGTGTTTCATAATTCTCTAAATTAACCATACAGTTTAAAATTTGGCAATTAATAATTTTTATTTTGTATCTATTAAAAATTAATCCTAATATTAACTTCAGCAAAAAGACCAAAGACTTCTTCAAAAAGTGTAAAAATAATAATCAAATGCAGTTGCCTAATTTATAGCATTATTTGTATTAGAAAAAACATACAATAATAGTTACTGTTAATGTTTTAGGTAAATGGTTACTTCAAGAATACTTAATGGGTTAAGAAAACAGTAAACTCATTGCTTTCAAGATGAGTAAGATGTCTAAGAATAAGTTGAATTTGACCCTACCACCAGGGTCAATTGATACAGCGCCTGCAGTCACACCGTCTAACATGACGCCTCAGCTGAAATCTGCCACTGCAACTGAGTAAGCATACTTGATGTTCTAACTGCTATTCTTGTACTAGATGTGTCATCTTCTCTTTTTCTGTTATTGAATTGTTTGTGGTGTTTTACTGACTAAACAATTTTCGTTATTAATAAAGCATGTTTTTTACAATAACAGATTCCCTATTTGTCCTTGTTTAACTAAAATTTATTTATTTTGAATGCTTTTTATATTGACTTCCCTTATAATTTAACTGTCTTTATATAACTATACTATAAATTTAATCATCATCATCAGCCTATTGCAGTCCATAGGATCGAGGTCTGAACTGGAAATAGGCCTCTTCCATTGCCACACCACTTAGATCTATTTTCGGCACTATAAATTTAATGACAGCGATGGTCACTTTCCATCAGGTGACCCATCTGCTGATCTGCCCCTAACATAAAAGAAAAATCAAGGCAAAACAGCAATGTCAGTTTTCATGTGATATTTTTCATAAAACTGGTTAAAAAGAATTCTATTCACATATTAAAATAAATAAAGGGTAAGATGTTCACCTGAATATGGATATGACCTTGACTATTATAAATATGTGAACACAAATACACTCATTGAAAACAAACATGCTTTTATATCATGATAATTAATTTTTTTGTTGTATATGTACTACTTGCATGTGAAAGTTTATTCATTTAATCCTAACTAATATTGTTATAGCAAATGTGAGGTTGGTTGTTAGGAGTGCAAAAAGGATGCTAGCCTCCTAAAGTCTTTTTTATCTTTCATTATTACAAAAAAATCTTCCAGAGATGTAAAAATATAACTATTTGTGAGTAAATCTGCAGCCAAAAGCATACAATATGTTTTTAAATTTTGGTATTGATAAAAGTCTGTGTTGTGTGTGTGTTCCAGCATTGATTTGAAACTTCTAAATAGACGATAGAATAATCTTTCTGACAATAAAGGTAACTGAAGATTGTTGTATTTTTTAGACGGCAGGGTTTAGCTGGAAAGTCTAAGACTAGTATTGAAGCTCTTACTGAAAGGTTGGAGCAAATAGAAATGGATGACACACAGAGACGAAGGATAGAAGTATTCCTCTGCCAGAAGGAGAAAATTGGAGAACTTAGTGATGACGATTTCGAAAAACTTGGAGAGCTTGGTGAGTATCAAAAAAGGACCAACCCTGTTCTAAGTTTAATGTAGTTCAATGTTTGATTAGGATGTTATAACAATTACGTAGCAACTCTGTAACCTTTATTAATTGCATTGTCTGTTATGCTGCATGAATTACAAAAGCATTCAATTCCAATCATGATAATAGAAGTATAAATTAAACCAAGACAATTACTACTGACAGTCTGGGTACAACCTGCTCTATGATATTGTGTGTTGCAAGAATTACTTGTAACACACTCTTCTTTGTGGCTCCTTCTGTGTTTAAATAGTATGAAAAGAAGTCGCTTCCCATTCTATGCTTCGATCTTCCAAACTCTGCAACATATTTTAATGCAGTTTTCATCAATAGAGAGAATGATTCAAGAGGAAGGTTTAATATCCATGTACTAATATTATAAATGCAAAAGTGTATCTGTCTCTCTGTTAGTTCTTCATGCTTAAACGTCTGAACCGATTCAGATTAAATTTGAGAAAGGATATAGGCTACCTTTTACCACTATAGCGGACACACACAGGGTAGGAGCCGCAATTAGTAGGTATAATATATTGCATGAGTCTGAAGCCGAGCGGGTCGTTAGTATATTTTAAAAACAACTCAAAACTAAAGTGTATTAACTTACTTTCAGGTCAAGGTAATGGTGGTGTGGTAATGAAAGTTCGACATAAGTCCACAGGTCTGATAATGGCTCGCAAATTAATCCATTTAGAAGTCAAACCAGCTATTAAAAAACAAATTATAAGGGAACTCAAAGTCCTTCATGAGTGTAACTTTGCTCATATAGTTGGATTCTACGGAGCATTTTACAGTGATGGAGAGATTTCGATATGTATGGAATACATGGATGGTGGATCGTTAGATCTTATATTGAAGAAAGCTGGACGAATTCCTGAGTCTATTTTAGGTAAGTTCATCATGATAAATACTGTGGCTACTATGACTCAGAGTGAGTCAGAATGACGAATTACGATAATTGTCGATCGATCGAAAATAATCATAGTGACTGGAAGCTTTCTTGATATGCATACCATGGTGCATTTTAAGAATGCACAATAGATTATTTATTTTTAAAAAGATTTATCACAGTAGTAGCTTTTGACCGCAGCTCCGCCCGCGTCAATGTTGGTTATCGCGGTAAAAAGTAAAAATATTGTGGCTACTATGACTTGGAGTGAGTTAAAATATCATCAAAAATTTTCATTGAATTACTAACTGTATGCTTGCAAGTACCTACTAGACCAGGTTGTGTTATAAATTATTAATTACACGTCCTCACTCAATTGTGTTCAAAATACACACATTGCAGCTATAAATCATTTATTATATTGTAACTGTAAAAATAAATGTTATTCTTAAAGTCCAACAATGTCGTGTATGCGTAATTACACTGAGGTGGTATTTTGTGTAATCACTCAAAGACACTAGGTGTCATGTAACTTTTTTGGTGAATTATGATAGCCTTATCATTACTTGATCATGACCTGTTGTGTGGTGCGTTACCTGCTAAGACTGTTTACTTGTTTAATCTCATATAGTTTGAAGAAGTCCTTACCTAGTTGGGCACTAGTCACTCACTTATAATAGTTAATGAATTTGTGATACACTGGCTGACTTTAAAAATTTATATGTATGAATATAATGTATGAATTATAAAAGTAACGTAAATATAAACAAAATATATAATATTAATGAGAAGTATTGTGGGAAACAAATATTTGGGAAACCAGAAATATTTTAACTTTGTTTTGTTTATTTACAAACTATTTAGCTATAAAACTGTACTCATTGTTTGAGGCATTTTTAAGGAACGATAACTTCAGCGGTGCTGAAGGGACTGAGTTATCTCCGTGACAAACACGCTATCATGCATCGTGACGTGAAACCGTCCAATATTCTCGTCAACAGCAATGGAGAGATCAAGATCTGTGACTTTGGTGTGTCTGGACAACTGATTGATTCTATGGCCAATTCATTTGTTGGAACAAGGAGTTATATGTCAGTAAGTGTTAAACACCAGTTTGTATCAGATTATTGTTTTTTTAGCAAACTGTTCCGGCTTCGTACGTGCCAAGCTTAAGCGGATGTATGAAGTGAGCAAAGCATTATGCAGTAATTGTTTTCGTTAGGACTTTTATAGGGTATTCTGAAACTTTAAAACTTTGCAAGAGGTAAATTAATTAATTAAGTAGCTATAATGACGATTAAGTTTTAATTCCGAATTTTTTGTTTGGGGAAAACAATATGAGGTTATTAAAAGAGTACCTACTAAAAATGATTTTACAAGTTCGCCACAAGTGAATCTATTTCAAGGGAATCCGGCATACCTTGGGCAGAAAGGCTCCGAGAACCCCGGCAGATCTTGGCCGTCGTGAATACCACACCATTGATTGCAAAGGGCCTTCCCCTTCCTCCGGCTTATAGAGGTGCGCATGGAAAACTTCGCGCCACCCTCTCAGGCTTCCTATTTGTATGGTAACGGGCAGCCTTGTTCCCAGGCCAGCAAGCATTTTGTATACAAATATTTAATAGAATTATTTATTTTCTGAATGTTTATTTCAGCCTGAACGTTTACAAGGCACACACTACTCTGTGCAGTCGGACATCTGGTCTCTTGGCCTGTCCCTAGTAGAAATGGCAATCGGCATGTATCCCATACCACCTCCAGATGCGAAGACTCTCGCTGCTATATTCGGGGGGCAAAATGAAGATCATTCCCCTGGACAGGTTAGAAAAAAATCTTATATCACAAACTTTTCCGTGTTATTTAATTTTGTCTACTTTTCGACAAAAAGAACTACAGGAATTCTTTCTTACATTTAAAGTACTCTGCACAGCTTTCTTTTTAAAATTGTTCTCTAATAAAAAAATACATAAGTATTCATACACTGACGTCTGATATCCCTGAGGGGTGAATAGAGCGTATTAAACGGCCTTGTTTTAACGATTATAATTTTAGACCTATTTACGTAATACGAGGCAAGCTCCCTCAACCGGGCACACATATTTCTAAATATATACCTATAAATACTTTCTGAATATAGACAAAAATAGTTCAAAGTAATTTATTTGCAGAATGTAGTACATACAACAGATGTTAATAATTACAATATTGGCTCAGTACATTCTACCATGACAATGGAGTGCAAAAGGTGATATAGATGCTGCACTAACAGCTCATACGTACATCTTCATCACCATCAACAGCCTTTAGTAGTTCACTACTGGACATAGGCCTCTCCTTAGTACATAAATGTTATAAAAAAATTACACCCAGACACAGAACAATTAATGATCTTGCTCAAACCATGTCAATATATCTTTATTTCATAAAATTCTTTTAAAATTATATGAAATCCTCTCTTAATCTCTCCTCCTCTCATCCTCTCGCAATGTATGTCCTGGTAGCTAATCGAACCCAAGACCTTGGCTCACGACCTACCGGGTTTGTTGGCCTAGTGGTTAGTGATCCTGATTTCTGGTTGTAGATTCGATTCCCACCCAGGACAAATATTTGTGGGATGAGCACAATCATTTGTTCTGTGCCTGGGTATAATTTATCTATAATATATATATGTATTGACAAATATATAGGGATGTTTATTAGCAGTAGTACAGGCTCTGGACCGTGTGTGAGATCTGAGGTTATAAAAAAAACTCCTAAAAATGCAGGCAGATTATTATTTACAATATGATATTCTGGCCTACTCCCCAAAAAATATTTGAGTTTGAGTATTACAATTTATGTTTCAGGCACCAAACTCTCCTCGTCCAATGGCGATATTCGAGCTCCTAGACTATATAGTCAATGAACCGCCTCCAAAGCTACCGGCTGGCATCTTCACTGACGACTTCAAGGACTTCGTCGATCGCTGCTTGAAAAAGAATCCAGACGAACGAGCTGATTTGAAGACACTCATGGTAAACCAGCAAGAAATGCAATCCTAAAATAAGAAAATATATTGATACATTACATTACAGTGACGCTTTCTGTTTATGACTCGCTATGGTACAGAGGGCAACTCATACCCACTACAAGTCAATTGCCCTGTCATTCAAATGTACCTTAAATATGACCTTGCGATTTACCAAGGTCATAATCGCATCCCCGTGCCTACAGTCAACGGCCTAATTTTTAAGATTACGATGTGATGTCTTTATTTTATTGGTTTGAAAAATTGAACTGAAATTTTTTATGCCCCAATTTATACATTTTTCTTCGACTGCCAAAATTACAGTGAAGTTGTTATACAAAGCAGTTTCTCTTGACTAAACGTCAAAATGAAAAGTGCTAAAGAAACTTAGTAGTCTAGAACTAGAAATACTGCCGGACAACCATTTGTCTTTAATATTTTGATTTAGCACAATTAAATTAAATATTATTACATTCTCAAATTAAATTTGTTTGTCAAAATTTTCAATGCTTCAGAACTTCACTCTTAATTTCATGTAGTAATTCGTAAGTAATTGTAACCATAGGTAATTGTTAAATGCTTGTTCTTATAAGGACAAACCAAATAAATATCTATTTCTTTTCTGTTTAGAATCATGAATGGATTCGGAAAGCGGAAGCAGAGAAAGTGGATATAGCAGGATGGGTGTGTAAAACAATGGATCTCATGCCTTCCACGCCCAATTCTAACGTGTCTCCTTTTTCTTCATAAGCTGCAAGAAGTGCATACTTTCATCAGCGAAAAAGGGTTCGTTTTGTCTATAACATAATTTACATACCTACATAGTGATATAATACAACACCTCAACATTTATTTGAAAATAGTTATAAGGCCAGAAGTATTGAAGTGAAAAAAACGGTTTCAATCTTTTCTTTGGTAGGTCAAATACCTACCAAAGAAAAGATTGAAACCGTCTTCAATGTCCACTCTCTTAAAGTCTAGACTCTCCTTCGATGGTCACCTTTATGTACATATAAAGAAAAAAACTTTGCGAGAAAAACTTTTATTTCAGCTTATCTTCTCAATTATAGTGTAAGTATTGCAGTTGGTCCCAAAATAATCATTCCCTAAGATTAAAAAAAAATCAATTTCTAAATTATATAACAGAGTGTTATATAACTGCTAAGCGGATTTTGATTAAATTTGCATATGACATAGGCACTGGGTACTGAAATGTATGCAACGAAGTCGCTGAGGAAAATTTTGTTTATGGATGTGTTTATCGACAGGTCAAAACATTTCCCAAGAGAAAGCGGGCGACACAATCTGTGAGGACGCAAGCGCAGAATAATAGCTGCCCTACACCACGCGATGACAGTAAACAGTATGTCAACTCTAGATACCATTGTCCAGAACACCACGCAACACCACCACTTGTGTAAGAGACGTGATTCTACACCCTTGGCCTCAAGTCAACCAATTGTCCAGTTTAGATGGAGGGTTTATGTGGGGAGGACGAGTTTCACAACATACTTTTTGTGTATTCCACAAATAAGTGAACGAAAACTTATTTTTTTTATTCAGAATATTATAATATACTTTTTAGTGTATATTAAAACATCATTTTGAAGTCATTGTGAAAAGAAAACCAAAGTCAATAATATTTTTAGACAATTGGAAGACAATTTTTTTTAAATTTTATTTCGATAAATTTTAAACATATAGTTAATTTTGTAAGTGTATAAAATGGAAACTTTGTGCTTTAGCTGTTGGAAAATAAGCCCTCTGAACGGATCATACACATCATACACAATGTAACCGATGTCAGCACATACTTGTTCGTTGGTGGTTCAATGCAAACATTAGCCTTAATAGGGGTAGCTCACATTACATTTTAGTATTGCAATTAGCGGTTCTTAGTAGATCAGCGTATATAACATCAAGGTTATCACGTCTCATAATATTTAAAATGTCATGAATATAACATTAAAATTCTTCGGGAGACATCCTGTCATCGAATCGAGACTCAAAATTAATAAAAAATTATAATTTATAGAATTGGCTAAAATTTAATGTAAAGAATTCGTAGGATTTATTCGAAAACGATGCGTTACGCTACACTTTGAATCGCTTGAAGTTGTGTAGTCGACGACACGGGCGACCTTTTTAATTTGTGACGAAAAATGATAACGCGAACTATAGAAAGACGTACAACTGTTTCGCCGGCTACATGTAAGAGAATCGACTTTCCTTCTCATATACTCGCTATATGATTACGAGAAAGTGAAGTGAAATCACGTTGATGCGTGTAGGACCGTAACCGATAGCATGGTGTCTGTTAAATAGATAGGGTAAAAATGAAACATATTGCATTCGTGGACGAACTAATCGAGGTTTTATAACAAGAAACGACAACTAATCGATAAATGGTCAAGTAGAGTTGATTTAACTAGTCGCAAGTCGAAAAAATGTTAGTAGTGTTTTGACATATTTTTCTTTGCTGAAAGTGCGTAATTCATGTCAGCTGGTACCTGTTATTTGAATAGATTAGGGGCTGGCCCTGGCCGGTCCCGAGCGCTGGAATACTCAAACGGGCGCGTCTCGCGTCCGTGGGAGTGTTGCAGAGCTCGCGTGTATCCTCTTATAATGTGTAAAATAGAATGCATTTTTAGACTACACCAAAAATATTAAAAAAAAATGAAAAAATAAAAAATTGTAGGTATGTTTTTCCCATTATTGACGTGATGCACTTTTCCCGTTTGGTTTGTTGTGTTATTTGCTTCGTTTTAGTATGTCCGCTGTTATTTATCCGCCCTGTCCCGTGCACCTTGCGTAGATGGTAAACTTTAAAAGCTATTCACTAATGTAATGTGTTTGCGATATTGAATGTATGAGTGAATGTCTATTTGTTCGTTGCAATAGTGTACGAATTCATGGAGAACGATGGAAAAAATTCCATACGAGATGAATTCGTATTTGAAGATGACAGTTATATACTATACCGCCGCACTACCCGACTCCCGAGTTAGTTTATTCCTCGTGTGTACACAGCATGTCTACGCTTTGCGATCGCTATTATTTGCCTGACCTCCCCTTAATATTTAGAGTGTTATCTATAACATGTATCGTGTGTTCTAGAATTTTGCGAAGTGTTTTGCCTTTTATACCCCGTATTTGATGATTTATTTTATTACCACTTAGATGATTTACGGTGCTTTTATTTAATGACGTAAGTGATATAAAAAAAATAAAAAAAGATTTTTGTATAAATGGTCTTATCGTGATTATAGGTTTAATTTATCTTTGGTACGTATCTAGTTGTCGTGTAGGTTAAGTTAAATGTATTACTAGATATTGTATTTTGAAATTGTGTTTTTAAGATATAATTTCTTGAACAATTAATGAATTAAGACCTCATTTTTAAATGCAAGTCTATCGTATTTGTAGTTGATGTTCCAAAAGTTCAATGTAATTTAAAAGCTTTAGTTCCACAGAGGCTTGTTTGTTAAAAAGCGTATGAATGTTATGCCTGTTAAGGTGTCGTCACACCAAATATATTATTTTACTAAATAATCTCAAATAAATTATACGCTGTATTTCACTATATCAGGCATATAAGAGAGATAGCATAGGTAATTTTAAATTACAAGTCTCTGACAACACAATTTAATTGATGTTAAGGTTTTTATTTTAACAACACCAAATATTGCAACTATATTCTTTGTCAATATTACCATTACGATATTTGAGGCAGTAAATCAAAATTATCAAATCAGTATGCCTATATACTCCTAAATAAATATTACGTTATTAGAAAATCTGATTCCAATATTTTTCTGAGTAAATCTTTTTTAAACGACGTCATAAGAATCGAGCGGTTTTTCTATGTTAAAATCTTTTAGTAAATAGTTCAATTAAGATTATTTTAGGACTGAGGGTATCGCCTATAAAGTTGTATTCATTTTTTAATAAACGTTATTATATCATTATATTATGGATCCCTAGCATTTATAGGGTACATACCCTAGAATAGTCATAGAAAGAAAATATTATAAGTTTCATGTATATTATCATTGTTATTTATTTCACTAGTGGGCAAAAAACTTTTCAAACAATCCTTCAATCTTTTCAAATTTCAATGTTGATTTACATTAATATTTAAGTCGAAAAACAACTGATAAGTATAATTTTTTTTAATGTATAATAAACTCAGTGTTCAGTCAATTTTGACGGCCTTGCCATCTTTGCACCAAGGCACACGGATTCAGTTATTGCAGTCAGCAATGTGCCCCTTGGTGCAATGAACTGTCCGACTAGGCACTATGGTTACACATTCCTGCCAGCCAGTCATAGGCTAATTTAAAAGGCGAAGATAGTATATTTAACAGTATGTTACCCTTTTTTTTTGACGCAACATATTATTTAGGTTATGAGTTTTGACGTACTCAACAAGTTCTTGTATATACCTATATATATATACAGGGATTATTTGTGTATATTTTTTGACTTTATATAATACTAGCTTATGCCTGCGGCTATCAGTAGTCTTATGTTACTCGCTGATAATGTAGCTTTCCTGCTAAAGAATTTTTAAAATCAGTTCGGTGGTTTAGGCGTGTAAGCTTAACAAACTCACTTTCACATTATCGGTATGGATGTGTATGGTTGGCCACTTGATAAGACACGACAACTTCTTCAGAATAATGCATTAGAACTGGAAGGAAAAATAAAGGCAAGAGGAAACGAGGATGGCCCAAATCAACATACAGCAAGTGAAGGAGAAAGTGGGAGTCGGGGCCTATCAAGAGGTTAAATAGATCGCAGGAAATAGAGAGGAGCGGCGATTGCTCCACCGACAAGGGCTTGGCCTTTAAATTGAGACAGAGAAAGAGATCGATGTATATAAAGTCAAAAAATACACGTGCAAATTCAATCCTTAGGACTTTAGAGTATAAATTTTCATAGTAGGTTTCATACTGGTACAATTGTCAACATCACCATCTTACTTGATGAGTAAAAAATATAACAAATTCTCATTTCTAATAATCATTTTCCTCCATTTCTTACCTATACTTTGATCTATGGCTAAAATGATTCAATTGACATGGTATTACACATATCCATTCAGAATCGATATTTTGTTAAAATATTAAAGTTACATCACTACGATGCTTCCATTAAATCATAACATTTTACATCCCTTGCCTTCCATCAATGCAAACTTTATAATTCTACGTTTTAGTACATACCATGAACAAATTATTGTGAACTCGTATAATATTGTTGTAATTCAGGATGGTGTACTATAAATTACACATAGTAATTAATTTGACGTTCTTTTACAAATGTATACTGAGAATATACGACAGTTGGTGCAGCTAGTTGGAAGATCACATTGGACACGTATTATTCAGTTTACTTATACACTTGAGTGCTCCACTGTTTGAGTTTTAAATATTACTCTATCATGCATGTATCTACTACAGTGTCAATACATTTTGATGTCACGCATCCATAATCGAAGTATAGTTATATATAGTTAATATGTGCATTATAAGTACTGTAAACTTATAAGTATATAAAACACCAATAAATTATTTTCTGGTTATAAGTATTTTATTGTCTATTTTGCTAGTTGGAAGTCGTCAATTTATTTTTGTAACACTGAATGCAATCAAGTGTATACAATTATTATTTAAACGAATGGTGTATAATCTTGTTCATTTTAAGACTAAGCTCTCATCGAGACGACGTAATATCGACTATGAAAAATAGTTAATAAAAATGTGCAGTTATCGAAAACCAATCGTCCGATAAATAAGTATTGTTATACCTATCGTTGGTTATGTTTATTTTTAAAGGGAAAATTGGATGAATGTTATATGTCTCTGGGACATATATAAATCGATTAATCTCTCTGTGACACTCGATATAACGTAGTCATTCAATGAGTGCTTTATATATCGTATCACTTGATGTAACTTCATTTATTTTATATGTAAGCTTCTTTATATATATTGTGTAGTTAGGTACTTATGTACAAATAAATGTTAATGAAAATGAATTTCCTTTTAGTTAATTCCCTAATTTACCAGTTATAATACTAGCAATCAACTCAGTGAAATACTTAGCACAAATTGTAATTACCGGGTGGATAGTAGATGCGATTGCGAGGGGAGGCCTCCGCTTACATTAAAATGAAATATGCGAAGTTAAATCGCAAAGAGGTTGCAGAGGGAGATTCTTCCTTGCCCCTCATTATAAATGTGCGTAAATATTGTTTCTGCGGAGAGCCTTTTGTCGGGCCTCATTAAGAAGCCATTACGAGTTCGAGTTTAATCCTGTCTGTGACTTTTTGCATAAAAGTCATAAAATATTGTTTGTGAATAAGTTAGTAATTTGGTACGTTGATGAAAAATAATTATTTGTGCAAATTGCATAA